ACACACACACACACACACACACAACACATACATACATACACACACACACAACACACACATACACACACACACACCATATATATATATATATATATATATATCTATCTATATATAGTATCTTTGTATAGGAGTATCATCACACAGTTGTAATTGCGTACATTTGTTATCTGCCACATCATTTGAAGCAGCCATCATTGTCACATAAACGATGTATAAACTTTCGCCGTTGTATCTGTGTTCATAAAGTGGATAGCAACATGAGCAACCGGCTCGCTTCGGAACATGGTATGCGCCTGTCTAGTGATCGGGGGTGGGTGTACAATGACGAGGCTGCTCAACAAAGGAGGTAAGTTAGTGCCTGCGTCGCAATTCAGACACTGATATGTTTCTTTGAACCAATGCTTAAATCGTTTTGTGGTGTGAACAGGTATTTCTCCACAGTAGTTGATGAGCGTCCGATTTAATATTCTTTACACTTTGACTCTTGCGTGTGCGAAAGTCACACTGAAGTCTTAGACTCCATCGGACGAGACTCAATATAGAGGCTCGTGGTCCATAGTGTGCTAGCAGAACCTTCCTATTGTCCTCCGAGGCTAACGGCTCACGCGGAGCGATTGGTAGCCAGAAGTATTGTTAGGAGTGATTCGCACTATAACGGTATACAGGCCAAGCCGTATACAGCCCGGTCATGTATACTCATATTGTATGTGCACAACATACACTTGGATGACACTATATGGGCGCGACTAAGTGAATCGCACCCACTCACACATCGGCTGTTTGGGCCTTCTTGAGGGGGTTGGTCTCAATCTCTCGTACACTCTACAGTCAACGCGCTTGCAGTGACCACCTTCGATTAAAAACACCGACTTTGATGCTCTCGGCCACAAGGGCTATCTATACTCAACCCGAGACTACATACCGTTTATTTGCTGGTAGTATCAACGGGCGTTTAAATGCAATGATCATGATACTTTGGGCTACTGACTCGGATGCTTTTCGTAAGCTCATCCTGAAGATCTGTATCCACCATTTATTGTAGTAATACCAGCCGGCCGTATACTCGGTCGCTACACCTATGCTTGTTTTATGCTTAATATGAGATTATGCAATCTTTTATATACGTATAGTAACAACGGCCGTGTAGATACACTGACTCGGATGGACACGGTCAGGCGCCCGGTGCGGCCACGGCAGATGAACAGCTACAACAACAGCAACTGGAACAGCACAGACGGGGGGGGCACTGTGGGCCCTATGTACTTTGACCCAAACCTGCAGAAGTGGAGGAGTCACAGAGAGTCTGATGAGGAGGTATGGTGTGTGATTGCTCAGGTACCATGGGAGAAGGTTGTTCATGGATA